CAGAGGAGAGAACAGACCACAGCGCCCCCTACTGCTCACAACACACACACACACACACACACACACACACACACACACACAGTACACAGCACAGGCATACTAAGCCATGAGGATGAAGTGTCTTGCCCAAGGACACAACAGCAGTTCACATCGGAGCCTCGACTGTCTCCATCCAAATACTGACCAGACACATGTACAGTAAACTACAGACCATCAGAGGAGACAGTAGAGCAGCAGTAGTAGTAGTAGTAGTAGTAGTAGTAGTAGTAGTAGTAGTAGTAGTAGTAGTAGTAGTGGTAACTGTGATAATTATAATAGCTGTAATAGTTATAGTTATAGTTGTAGTAATAGTCGTTGTAGTAGTTCTAGTAGTTGTAGTTGCTGTAATAGTAGTAGCAGTATTTGTTGTAGTAGTTATAATTGTAGTAGAAGAGTAGTAGTAGTAGTAGTAGTAGTAGTTGTAGTAGTAGTAGTAGTAGTAGTAGTAGTAGTAGTAGTAGTAGTAGTAGTAGTAGTAGTAGTAGTAGTAGTAGTAGTAGTAGTAGTAGTAGTAGTAGTAGTAGTAGTAGTAGTAGTAGTAGTAGTAGTAGTAGTAGTAGTAGTAGTAGTAGTAGTAATTGTAGTAGTAGTAGTAGTAGTAGTAGTAGTAGTAGTAGTAGTAGTAGTAGTAGTTGTAGTGGTAACTGTGGTAGCTGTAGTAGTTATAGTAGTAGTAATTGTAGTTGTTATAGTAGTTGTAGTAGTTGCAGTAAATTAATAGTAGTAGTTGTTGTAGTAGTTATAATTGTAGTAGCTCTAGTAGTTGTTAGTAGTTTGTAGTAAAAAAGTAGTAGTTATACTTGCAATAGTTATAGTAGTTGAAGTAGTAGTAGTTGTTGTAGTAAAAGAGTAGTAGTTGTAGTTTTAGTAGTTGTAGTAGTTATAGTTAGTAGTAGTAGTAGTAGTTAGTTGTAGTACTTATAGTTGTAGTAGTTATAGTACTACTAGTAGTAGTTATACTAGTTGTAGTAGTTGTAGTAGAAGAGTAGTAGTAGTAGTAGTAGTAGTAATAATATAAGAAATATCCTGGTATTGCTATGTATTACTAGATGTCTACTATATAAACATACTACTACTACTACTATAACTACTACTACTACTACTACTGCTGCTGCTACTGCAAACCTGAAACTAAAATATCTCCAAATATCAAATAACATGTGCAGAAAAAACTGTGTTCTAATCAAAACACAATTTAATATTTAGATTTAAATTATAAAAGCCTTTACATTTATTTGCAAAACTGAAAAACTAGTTTACGCTAAAATAACTCATTTTCTGCGTAGTTCTTACCGTGTTTGATCGTCATGGCTGCGTCCGTTTTATCCCTAAACCCCTGACAGTTCAGTGTAATATTCCCTAAAGCCCCGGGGTCTTTTGCTCCGTGATTGGCCGGAGTCCAGAGGGGAATCAGGGACGGCCAATCAGAGGCGTCGGACGGACAGGTGAGAACAGGAAGTGCAGGTGTCAGCTGTGAGACGGAGTCGGTGACACGAGACGAGCTCACGTTTCACACGGGTCAAGTGACGCTCACAGTTCTGATGCACCCAGAGAGATGATTGAACTATTTAAAAACCTGGGAAACATTTAAGATATAAACCAGGGCTAAGATAAAGTTAAACTAAAGCTAAACAGAACTTAAAGGGATAGTTCAGTTTTTTTGACATGAATCTGTATGTCATCCCCATCAGCAGTGTCGTGCATCATCACTGACTTTACCTCCGAAAGTGTCCGGTGAGCCGAGATCCTGGCCGGTTTTGGTGCTGAGGAAAGTAGTTCGGCAAGTTGGCTGGGGACAGTCTAATAAAGTGTTTTTCTTCTCAAAACAATATGTGTTCAAAAAAGTGATACATTTGCACCACAAAACCTCCGTCCTGAAAAAAATCAGTCCTCATAATCACTTGGCGTTATTTTCTCTCCGTACGTATCACTGCGCGCTGCCGCCAGGTGACAGTCGCGCCTGTTTCACTTTATTAACTGCTCGGAATGTTCGCAACAACATGTTTGACTACGACACCGATGATTAAGAAATAGATTTTAGCACAGAACCAATGGGAGATCTTTTTGAACCCGAATATACGTCCGTTACAGGAAAACGGTGAAATTTGTGCAGAGATTCAGACAGATTTTTGTTGTTACAGCCCGGAAAATCACAAGTTCGCACCATTTTTTAGATATATTCTTACGTATCGTATACAAGCTTATATACCTGTCATGCTAGCTCTGACATTAGGTCTCTCGCGTCACGGCAGTCACCGGTCTGAACAAGTAAACACTGCTGAAAAACTGAAGAAAATGATTGATCCGTGCGCGGCTGTCACCTGGCGCAGTGATACGAACGGAGAGAAAATAGCGCCAAGTGATTATGAGGTCTGACTTTTTGGAGGACGGAGGTTTTGTGGTGCAAATGTATCACTCTTTTGAACACATATTGTTTTGAGAAGAAAAACACTTTATTAGACTGTCCCCAGCCAACTTGCCGAACTACTTTCCTCAGCACCAAAACCGGCCAGGATCTCGGCTCACCGGACGCTTTCGGAGGTAAAGTCAGTGTGGATGCACGACACTGCTGACGGGGATGACATACAGATTCATGTAAAAAAACCTGAACTATCCCTTTAAACCGGATTAAACTAAACTAGGACTAAAATTAAAGGTCCTAAATTAAACAAAACTGACTCTTCTGAGCTTTAAGTCATGTTATGATGTTGTTCCCTCCTCAAAAACAGACCTGGAGTTGTGTTTTGTTTCATTCACATGTTTGAGTATCACTTTATTATTAGTCTGTCTACATCTCCAAAGCTCTAAAATGCTAAGCTCCACCTCGTGATGTCATGAATGGTAGTTTTCAAGTTAACAGCTTCTTTTACCTTTAGTTCAGAAGAAATTGGCAATTCCAAAACTGAAATGATCCACGTGTTTCTAGTGAGGTGTGTGGAGTTTAAAAACACAGTGGAGCACTTCCTGTATTGCCACTTGATGACATCACATGGTGCAACAGAGTGTTTTCAGTTTGAGAAAATAACTCAGCCTAAATATGCAGGGTTTGTAGTAGTAGTAGTAATAATAGTAGTAGTAAAAGTAGTAGTAGTGGTAATAGTAGTAGTAATAGTAGTAGTAGTAGTAGTAGAATTAGTAGTAATAGTCGTAGTACTAGTAATAGTAGTAGTAGTAACAGTAGTAGTAGTAGTAATAACAGTAGTAGTAACAATAGTAGTAGTGGTAATAGTAGTTGTAGTAGTAGTAGAATTAGTAGTAATAGTCGTAGTACTAGTAATAATAGTAGTAGTAACAGTAATAGTAGTAGTAGTAGTAATAACAGTAGTAGTAACAATAGTAGTAGTGGTAATAGTAGTTGTAGTAGTAGTAGAATTAGTAGTAATAGTCGTAGTACTAGTAATAGTAGTAGTAGTAGTAACAGTAGTAGTAGTAATAGTAGTAGTAGTAGTAACAATAGTTGTAGTAGTAGTAGTAGTAGTAGTAGGGGTGTACAGAAATATCAATATATCGTATTGTTTAAAGTGATGATACAGTATCGATATCGTGGGCTGCTTTATCAATATATCAAATATTTTTTTGTTTATTTTACTAAATTAGTTTTGTAAGGAAACTCGTTTATGTGACACATTTGACATTTTCACAGTTTTGATGAATAAAATGTTTGTGTTTCATATGAACTTTCCACATGAAGACTTTTAGTATCACAGACACGATTTAGCCTTTATTTTTTATTGAACCGTATCGAATTCATTTGAAATATATCGTATCGAATAGAAAGTGCACTGTATCGAGATATGTATCGTATCGGCAACTTCTTAATGAAACCCAGCCCAAAGTAGTAGTAGTAGTAGTTTTTTTTTTTTCCCAATATTTTTATTAATTTTCAGACAATAAAAATTCCACCTGAACAACTGACCACATTAACACAGGTCAACATATAACCAAAAATAATAATAATAATAAAAATAAATAAATAAATAAAATATAATAAAGATAATGATAATAATAATTACAAACAAATTTCACACACTCACACACTCATACACATTCACACATTCACTATACAATATTTGCACAATACAATTTATCAATCACAGGTGAGTCCTTGATTTATATTTGGTGACCATATGTACTTAAAAAAGAATAAAAAAATAAATATATATATATATATATATATATATATATATATATATATATTATATATATATATATATATATATATAATATATATATATATTTATATACACAACAATAAAAATAAAGAAATAGATAAATAAATAAAAATAAATAGAAATATATTAACTAAAAATTAGTAGAGAAACATAAATAAATAAATGGATATAGATAATATATATAAAAAATAGTAATAATACTAAAATAAAAATAAATAAATAAAAAATAATAATTAATTAATAAACAATAAAATGAGATAGGTAAATAATAATACTAAAATAAAATAATAATAATTACAACAATAACAACAACAACAACATTTGTGAAAATAAATAAAAAATCTGTTTTTGTCACTGTTATCATCATCACTGCCAATGCTGGACAACAACAATATTACATATATATATATATATACATGTATATATATATATATATATATATATATATATATATATATATATATATATATATATATATATATATATATATATATATATATATATATATATATATATATATATATATATATAGTATATATATATATATATATATATATATATATATATATATATATATATATATATATATGTATATGTATATATATATATATATATATATATATATATATATATATATATATATATACATACACACATCATTTCCACTTTTTGGATATAATATTTAAATAAGGTTCCCATAATTTCACAAAGTCTATTCATTTTCCCTTTAGTAGTAGTAGTAGTAGTAGTAGTAGTAGTAGTAGTAGTAGTAGTATTTGTAGTACTGACCTCTCTTGATGTGGGTGAGTTGTCTCTGGGCTTCGTCTCTTTCTTCTGTGAGTCTGTTGCACTGAAAACACAAAAAGAAAAACATCTTTAATACACATTAGTACACAAATAACTTTACTTCTACTTGTACTTAAAGTATTAAAGGTTTCACAAGTTATTTTTCGACGTTTTAAAAATTATAAATCTGAAATAAACTCAGACAAACCGAAAACCTTCTCATCAATTCTTTTTATCACTGGACCAAAGTGTCAGCGCTTTTACCGTTGTTTCATTCACAGATGTTCCACCTTGTGATGTCATCATGTGGTGATCCAGGAAGGAAGGAAGTGCTCCACTGTGTTTTTAAACTCCGCACGCCTTCACTAGAATCACCTGGATCGTTTCAGAGCTGGAACTGTCGATCTCTGCTGAACTAAAGGAGGTAAAAGGAGCTGAGCTGTGAACTTGAAAACCAGCACTTCGTGACATCACAAGGTGGGACAGAGCGTTTTGAGGTTTGGAGATGTAAATGCTGCGTCCAGATTAAAGAAAGAAAAAAAATAAAATAAATATACCTCAGTTTTATGTCTTTTTTTGTAACGTTTTGGTGCAGTTTAAACAGAGGAGAGGAGAGTGTGAGAGAGAACATACACCCAGTGACCTCAACGAGTGAAGAAAATGAAAACTGACAGAACCGAGGAGAGAGAGAAAGAGAGGGAAAGGGAGAGAGAGAGAGAGCGAGGGAGGAAAGAGAGAGAGGAGAGAGCAAAGATAGAGCAAGAGGAGAGAGAGGACACAGAACAAGAGGGAGAAAGGTAGAGAGCAAAAGAGAAGGAGAAGTGAGAGAGGGCAGAGAGAGAGAGAGAGAGAGAGAGAGAGGAGAAAGAGAGAGGGGAGAAAGAGAGAGAGATAGAGAGGAGAGAGGAAAATGAGAGAGGACAGAGGGAGAGAGAAAGAGAGCACAGAGAGAGAGGGAGAGAAAGAGAGGACAGAGGAAGGAGAGAGAGAGGAGAGAGAGAGAGAGAAAAGAGGACAAAGGGAGAAGAGAGAAGAGGGGAGAAAGAGAGAGACAGAGGAGAAAGAGAGGGGACAGAGGGAGAAGCAAGAGAGTGGAGAGAGAGGGAGAGAGAGGGGGGGAGAGGAGAGAAAAAGAGAGAGAGGACAGAGGAAGGAGAGAGAGAGAGAGGACAAAGGGAGAAGAGGGAGGAGAAAGAGAGGAGAGAGGGAGGAGAGAGAGAGAGAGAGGAGAAAGAGAGGAGAGAGAGAGGAGAGAGAGAGAGGAGAAAGAGAGGAGAGAGGGAGGAGAGAGAGAGAGAGAGGAGAAAGAGAGGAGAGAGGGAGGAGAGAGAGAGAGAGAGGGAAAGGGAGAGTGAGAGGAGAGAGCAAAGATAGAGCAAGAGGAGAGAGAGGACACAGAACAAGAGGGAGAAAGGTAGAGAGCAAGAGAGAAGGAGAAGTGAGAGAGGGCAGAGAGAGAGAGAGAGACAGGGAGAAAGAGAGAGAGAAAGAGAGGAGAGAGGAAAATGAGAGAGGACGGAGGGAGAGAGAAAGAGAGCACAGAGAGAGAGGGAGAGAAAGAGAGGACAGAGGAAGGAGAGAGAGAGGAGAGAGAGAGAGGACAGAGAGAGAGAGAGAGAAAGAGGACAAAGGGAAAAGAGAGAGGAGAGGAGAGGAGAAAGAGAGAGACAGAGGGAGAAGCAAGAGAGTGGAGAGAGAGGGAGAGAGAGGGGGGGAGAGGAGAGAAAAAGAGAGAGAGGACAGAGGAAGGAGAGAGAGAGAGAGGACAAAGGGAGAAGAGGGAAGAGAAAGAGAGGAGAGAGGGAGGAGAGAGAGAGAGGAGAAAGAGAGGGGGCAGAGGGAGAAGCAAGAGAGTGGAGTGAGAGAGAGAGAGAGAGAGAGAGAGAGAGAGGAGAGAAAGAGAGAGAGAGGACAGAGGGAGGAGGGGAGAGAGATGAAACATAGAGAGAGAGAGGACAAAGGGAGGAGAGAGAGGACAGAGAGAGGAGAAAGAGAGGGGACAGAGGGAGAAGCAAGAGAGTGGAGAGAGAGACAGAGAGAGAGGAGAGAAAGAGAGAGAGAAGACAGAGGAAGGAGAGAGAGAGGACAGAGGGAGAAGCGAGAGAGTGGAGAGAGAGAGAGAGAGAGAGAGAGAGGGGAGAGAAAGAGAGAGAGAGGACAGAGGAAAGAGAGGGAGAGGACAGAGGGAGAAGCGAGAGAGAGAGAGAGAGAGAGGAGAGAAAGAGAGAGAGAGGACAGAGGGAGGAGGGGAGAGAGATGAAACAAAGAGAGAGAGAGAGAGAGAGAGAGAGGACAGAGGGAGGAGTGACAGAGGAGAGAAAGAGAGAGGAGAGGAGAGAGAGACAGAGGAGAAAGAGAGGGAGGGAAGAGAGAGAGAGGAGAAAGAGAGAGACGGGGAGGGTATAGCAAGAAAGAGAGAAAGAGGGGGAGAGATAGAGAGAAGAGAGCGAGAAGACACAGAAAGAGAGAGGAGAGAGAGTGAGAGAGATAAAGTGAGACACACAGAGAGAGGGGGTAGAGCAAGAAAAGAGAGAAATAGAATGAGGGGGAGAGAGAGAGAGAAGAGAAAGAGAGAAGAGATATAGAGCAAGAGGGAGAGAGAGAAAGAGAGAGAAAGCAACAGAAGGAGAGAGAGATAGACAGAGACAGAGAGAGAGAGATAATTCAACAGAAAGAGAGATGGCATAAAAGTGAGTCATAGTCCAGGTTTTTCTCTCTTTTTCTTGTAGTTAAACCATAATTCCTGGTCAGTTTTGTCAGAACAGTTTCCTGTTTCTTGATCCTGAGCTGCAGATTCAGACTCTTTGTGTTTCGCTGAGTCTCGTCTCGTTTCTGTATTGACTCTAAAGTTTGTTTGTTTCCTCCAGACAAAAAAAAACAAAACACTTAAGCTGGAATCAAAAAACGTGACTGGACAATTTCACTCGTTTAAACAAAACGAGACGAGATACGAGGTCCACGAGAACGAGACAAGACGAGTTTTTATTTATTTATTATGTATAATTTTCAAAAATGTCTGGTCCCGTTTGCAGCTTTGGTCCAACATTTTGGCATTTAATGTTTGTTTTTTGTTGTTATTGTTAGACTATTATGTCCAGTCTAAAGAAAGACTAAATGGAAAAATTCTCGCAAGAAAATTTTTCTCATGTGTGGCAATTTTATCTCATGAGAACTTGTGCAATGAGATCTTGTGGAACGAGATTTTGAGGAACGAGATTCTCGTGGAACGAGATTTTGAGGAACGAGATTTTGTGGAACGATATTTTGAGGAACGAGATTTTGAAGAAACGAGATTTTGAGGAACGAGATCTTGTGGAACGATATTTTGAGGGACGAGATTTTGAAGAACGAGATTTTGAGGAACGAGATCTTGTTGAATGTGTAACAAGATTTTGTAGAACGAGATCTTGTGGAACGAGAACTTGTGTAATGAGATTTTGAGGAACGAGATTTTGTGGAACAAGATCACGTGGAAAGAGATTTGGTGTGACGATATTTTGAGGAACAAGATCTTTGTGGAACGATATTTTTTGAGGAACGAGATCTTGTGGAACGATATTTGAAGAACGATATTTTGAGGAACGAGATCTTGTGGAACGATATTTTGAGGAACGAGATCTTGTGTGACGATATTTTGAGGAACGAGATCTTGTGGAACGATATTTTGAGGAACGATATTTTGAGGAACGAGATCTTGTGGAACGATATTTTGAGGAACGAGATCTTGTGGAACAATATTTTGAAGAACGATATTTTGAGGAACGAGATCTTGTGGAACAATATTTTGAAGAACGATATTTTGAGGAACGAGATCTTGTGGAACAATATTTTGAAGAACGATATTTTGAGGAACGAGATCTTGTGTGACGAGATTTTGTGGAATGAGATTTTTTGGTACGAGATCTTGAGGAACGAGAACTTGTGGAGCGAGATCTTGTCCCATCCCTAGTGTCTACATCTCCAAACATCAAAATGCTCTGTTCCACCTTGTGATGTCATGAAGCAGTAGTTTTCATGTTAACATCTCCTTTTAGCTTTTGTTAAACAGAGACTGGCAATTCCAGGGCTGAAATGATCCAGATGATTCTAGTGAAGGTGCGTGGAGTTTAAAAACACGGTGAAGCACTTCCTGTATTACCACATGATGACATCACAAGGTGGAACGGAGCGTTTTGAGCTTTGTAGATGTAAACAGACTAATAATAAAGAGTAAAAAACACAACTCCAGGTCTGATTTTGAGGACGGAACAACATTCTAACAGGACTTTAAGCTCAAAAGAGTAATTTCTGTGAAATACTGGACCTTTAAGTGTGTCTATGTAGTACTACTAGTATTTGTATTACTCTGAAGTAGTAGTACACGTGTGAAGTGGCCAATTACTGCACAGACGGTTAAAGTGGGTCAGTGGGTGTGAGGAGGTAATTAACAGTTTGTCAGTTTGTTCACATAATAAAACAGATGTTCATGTTTTGTTTGATTTACCAAGACTAAACCAGGTCTAAACCAGGTCTAAATCTGGACTAAAACCAGGTCTAAACCAGGACTAAATCTGGACTAAAACCAGGTCTAAACCAGGTCTAAATCAGGAATAAACCAGGTCTAAACCAGGTCTAAATCAGGAATAAACCAGGTCTAAATCAGGACTAAACCAGGTCTAAACCAAGTCTAAATCAGGACTAAACCAGGTCTAAACCAGGATTTAACTAGGACTACATTTAGGTCTAAACTAGGTCTAAACCAGGACTAAACTCAGGACTAAACTACATCTAAACCAGGACTAAAATCTGAAATAAAATCAGAACTAAAACCAGAAATAAACGAGGACTAAACCAGGACTAAACAAGGACTAAACCAGGTCTAAACTAAAAGGACTAAAATCAAGACTAAAACCAGGTCTAAACCAGAACTAAAAGTGGGTTTAAACCAGCACTAAACCAGGACAAAACCAGGATTAAACTCAGGATTAACAAAGATCTAAACCAGGACTAAACTAGGACTAAACCAGGACAAAACCAGGACTAAAATCAGGTATAAACCAGGTCCAAACCAGCACTAAACCAGAACTAAATCTAGGTCCAAACAACCTCTAAACCAGGGCTAAAATCAGGTCTAAACCAGGACTAAACCAGGACAAAACCAGGTCTAAACCAGGTCTAAACCAGGTCTAAACCAGGTCTGCTCTGTAAGATCTTTGAGTGTTTTGAAAGGAGCTGTATAAATGTATAAAAGCCATGATTAATTAATTAGTTAATGCATAAATTTCAGTGAGAATATTAAAAAAACAATCTCAAAATCTGCCCACAAAAGATTCAAACATCGGTTTAAGGACTCGTCTGAAGTGTCGTACAGCGGAGAGTCTGAGCACATCTGTCACATCTTTATTAATCGACCTTAACAAAGCGCGACTGAAGCACGTGGGAGGGCATCTGGAGCAGCTGAGCCCCGTTTGGACCCGGGTCTGGACTCTCTGGAGCCCAGTGGGACCTGAATAAAAGACTCTGGTGATTACACAGAGAAACCCCCAGGGGAGCGTTTAAGCCCCTGAGGTTTTCCTGTTTGGACGGGGAAGGAACTCAAACGACTGGGTTTCTATGGTAAAATATCCAAGCGGCAGAGGGTCAGTTGGTGGCAGAGTTTAGATTCTAACCAGCAACTGTTTTGTAATTAGCGAATATCGTGATATTGATTTGATACCGATACTGATACAGAAAAAAATGTAATATTTTACTGGGTACAAATGTGTCACAAAGCATTTTTAACCTGGACTGAAGTGGTGGGTTTTTCGTTTTTCTTCAAACAAATTTGCTAAAATCCCCACGATATCAGCAGCGGTGAAACTCCATTGTTACACTTCTGGATTCCTTGTTTAGACCTGGTTTAGTCCTGATTTAGCTCTGGTTTAGCTCTGGTTTAGACCTAGTTTAGTCCTGGTTTAGACCTTGGTTCAGTCCTGGTTCAAATGAATTGACATACATAGTAGTTGTAGTAGTAGCAGTAGTAGAAGTAGTAGAAGTAGTAGAAGTAGTAGTAGCAGTAGTAGAAGTAGTAGAAGTAGTAGTAGTAGTAGTAGTAGTAGTAGAAGTAGTAGAAGTAGTAGAAGTAGTAGTAGTAGTAGTAGAAGTAGTAGTAGTAGTAGTAGTAGTAGAGTAGTAGTAGTAGTAGTAGTAAGTAGTAGTAGTAGTAGTAGTAGTAGTAGTAGTAGTAGTAGTAGTAGTAGTAGTAGTAGTAGTAGTAGTAGTAGTAGTAGTAGTAGTAGTAGTAGTAGTAGTAGTAGTAGTAGTAGTAGTAGTAGTAGTAGTAGTAGTAGTAGTAGTAGTAGTAGTAGTAGAAGTAGTAGTAGCAGTAGTAGAAGTAGTAGTAGTAGTAGTAGTAGTAGTAGAAGTAGTAGTAGTAGTAGTAAGTAGTAGGAAGTAGTAGTAGTAGTAGTAGTAGTAGTAGTAGTAAGTAGTAGTAAGTAGTAGTAGTAGTAGTAGTAGTAGTAGTAGTAGTAGTAGTAGTAGTAGTAGTAGTAGTAGTAGTAGTAGTAGTAGTAGTAGTAGTAGTAGTAGTAGTAGTAGAAGTGCTAATTGCACTTTAGTAGGCCAGTACTTGTGAACATTAACGGTCCTATATTACACAAAACTGACTCTTATGAGCTTTAAGTCATGGTAAAAGGAGCTTCCGACTTGAAAACTACCACTTCATGACATCACAAGGTGGAACAGAGTATTTAGAGCTTTGGAGATGTAAAGAGACTAATAATAAAGAGTTACTCAAACATGTGAATGAAAACAAAACACAACTCCGGGTCTGTTTGCGACGAGAAAACAATATTACAACTTAGGGATGTAACAATAATCAAAATATCGTGATATCGTATCGTCAAAAGTCTCACAATAATATCGAATTACACGTTTTTTTTTTGCGTAAATACATGGTTTTATAGCAGCAACATCTTATAAACATCGGAAACTACATATCCCATGATTCATTTCAGTGCAAACAACGTGAAGAAACATGTTTTTACTTGAATTCTTGGGATTATGACGGAAATAATTCACACCAAAATCATGTCCTCTCTACAATTATATAAGCTTTTTTAAGATATCGCAATAAATACCGTACCATGAGATGCATATCGTGATAATATCGTACGGACAGATTTGGATATCGTACCGAAAATACCGTAATATGCTTCCTTTATTATTTTCCTGACAAGCACACACTGGTATATTTATAGCCCATGATTTTGAGGGACTTCCTTTTGACCTAGTTTTTAATTTTTAATCATTTTTAATCCTTTTTCTTTTCCGAAACACCTCCCCTTTCGCTTTGACAGCATCTTAAATTACGCTAATTGTACGTGGCCAGCGACTCTCAAAACCTCGAACGCTAAAAAAATTATTTGTCTGTAGCTTCTCTGACGACGTTTAAGCAAAGTAGGTCAAAAAATGTAAATTAAAAATAACTTGAAATGAATTTAAATCGATCGTCCCGTGTAAGAATCGCGTAGTGCCCCAAATGAGCTCTGCGTAAATGGCGAAGAAGAAGAAGAAGAAGAGAGCGACGGATTTAGGGAGGGGTCTCGCCTCGAAACGGATGGATGCTGAGTGGAAAGCCGGCCGGCGACTCCGCGCACCCGAGTGCCCTACATTGGACCGGGCAAACGCGCCGTGGCACCGCTACTAACCCCCGTATCCATTTTACGCACGGTTCGGTTCGCGTTTGCGGGTTTCGGGCTCGCGCTCGGTCCTCACCTCGGTCTGCGCGTGTCTCTCCTCCTCGCATCCCTCCATCGGCGCGGACGGTGAGCACGGGAGCATGTCCAAAGACGCGTAAACGCTCCAAACCCGGTCCACTTTACGCACGGATCACGCTGGAGGTGTCGAAAGCGGAGTCTAGGTCCTGCTAAATTAAAAAAAAAAGGGACAAAACGCGAGGTCTAGGCGCACATGTTCGGTCCGGATCTGTCCCGGTGACGTTTTGGATGCTCTCCTCTTCCTCCTCCTCCTCCTCCTCCTTCCGCTCAGCATCATCTGGACTCCGGGACCCTCCCCCCTCCGAAACGTGGACCACTGAAAAAAAAAAAAAAAAAAAAAAACACAAATAACGAAAAACACCGAGCAACCGAGTAGAAAAAATGACTTATTTTCTTTGTATTGTTGTTAATTCTTTGGCTAATCTACTTATATTCAGTGTTGGGGAGTAACAGATTACATGTACCGGCGTTATGTAATCAGAGTACAAATGATGAGTAACTGTATTCAGTTACAGTTACTGTTTCAGTGAGTAGTAATTGGATTACAGTTACTTTGCTGAAATAAATGAATTACATGGTGGTATTTTCCTGTTTTTACATTTGGGCTATATATATTTTTTGGGGTAATTCTACTCATTGTCGGACATTAAACCACGTCTAAAACCAGGTCTAAACCAGGACTAAAATAGGACTAAATCAGGACTAAAACCAGGTCTAAAACCAGGACTAAACCAGGACTAAACCAGGTCTAAAACCAGGTCTAAACCAGGACTAAAACCATGTCTAAAATAGGACTAAACCAGGTCTAAAACCAGGACTAAACCAGGTCTAAACCAGGACTAAACCAGGACTAAATCCAGGTCTAAACCAGGACTAAATCAGGTCTAAACCAGGACTAAATCAGGACTAAACCAGGTATAAACCAGGACTAAACCAGGACTAAATCAGGACTAAACCAGGTCTAAACCAGGACTAAACCAGGACTAAATCCAGGTCTAAACCAGGACTAAATCAGGTCTAAACCAGGACTAAAACCAGGACTAAAACCAGGTCTAAACTAGGACTAAACCAGGTCTAAAACCTTGTGTAAACCAGGACTAAATCATCAAGTAATCCAAAGTATTCAGATTACATTACTCACTTCTTAAAATATTCTTAAAATATTAATAAAATAATAAAATTTACAAGGTTCAAGGTGAAATTTCTTGTCTTACATCGATAAAATCCAAAATTGTTTAACGTTTTTACACCAGGGGCCTTTTCTTTTTCCTTTTATTTGCGATTACAACGCTACTTTGGCCCCATCTGGTTGACAAAAAGCAATTTCTATAAAACTAAACAGACTGCAGTAGTTTACAATGCGCTAGTAAAGTACAGACTAAAGATGTTGTCAGTGGTAAATAAATCAAATCAAATAATTGGTCTAATATTTGCACATTTGAACTAGAAATCAACTTTATCTCTAAAAATACACATTAGGTTTTCTGTTTTTGTTGTAAGGCTGCTCATTTATTTATTTATTTTACTGTTCGATGTGTTTTTTTGTTTTTTTTTTTTTTGTATTGGAAAGTCTTGGTGTCTTTCTAATTAACATAATAATTGACTCAGCAAAGAAACGTAAACAAAACAGAGAGTTTAGAGGGAAACAGTGACATCTAGTGGTGGATATTTTATCTACAAGGCATTTTAGTTCAGTTTTTCTCTGTTCTCTGGGTCACAGTGTAAACTACAGTCACATTATTAGTTGTACCATCTTTTCCATAAACACACAAACACGAACAGGACTCAGGGACACAGACGCACTCACATTAACTCAAACTTCAAGGCTCAAACACGCGACTGAAACACATGAGAGAGCTGCATGTGTTCCTCGAGGACCAGGGATTCAAATTAAAAAGCGTTTAGCAGTAAATAAATAAAACATGACAAATAAAACATGTAGCAGGGCTGGCTTAAACATAAAGTCAGTGTCAATGGGGAGCATCATTTGCCCAACTTTCTGAAAAAAAAAAGAAAAGAAAATCAATCTGCACCTACTGTGAATTTTTTTTTACACTTGCCAAAGAAAACTGTTGATGTCTACTGAGTCCACCAAGCCTCTGAAGTTTAGTGACTGCAGAAGCCTTAAATCTGAGCTGAATAATCTGTTTTATGGTTAGTTTTGTTTGTCAGGGGCAATGCACATAAAAATACTGAGCTACACACAGATCATGTGCTTGTTCTGGGTTATTGCAAAATTGCTCATTTCCACCTTCAGTCCCTGGACAGGTTGAGTCATAAATGGCGTAAATGCCAATAAAATATAATACAGTGTATATTATGCAATCATTCCTCCAGTCAATCAATAAGTAAAACTCTAGTCTCCACATTTAAACACTGTTTACATATTTACACTTCATAATGCTGCATTCATACACGACACACTCATGTGGACAGGCTGTTTTCTTTAATAACATCCTCATCCTTTCTGGAAACTTGGGTTTACAAAACCCTGAGCCGTACCTGTCATTGGGACGCACCTGTCGTTGGGACGCACCTGTCGTTGGGACGCACCTGTCATTGAGACGCACCTGTCACTGAGATGCTCTGGTGACGTCACACTCACTCACTCCACTTTTTTATACAGTTTATGATCACTTCAGAAAGAACAAACTTTATGTCTCTCATTTCATCTTTGGAATTTGTGGACTTTGTATAATTATGAAAAAACACTCAAAATCTCGACAAAATTATCATCTTAGAAAGTTATGAAAATAAAGATATAAATTTGGTACCAAAAGATGCACAACAGCAACATTTATGTTCAACTTTCATTGACACCACTGCGCTAAACGGAAAGTTATTTGAGAAATAATGATCTGCCAGAGCTTTATGGACGCCATTAAAATTGGTGGACCCAGTAGATTTTATTCAGTTGAGCAATTATACAAGTTGAATTTCTGCATTGGGGTAAATGATGCACCCTGGTGTACACTGCTCAAAACACTGACCCCCTGAGGACAGAAGCTGAACTTCAGGGCAGAAACGTACTTTTTTAGTATTGCCGTAATGTAACAAGTTACAAATGAAAATCTAGTTCAGTTACTTGGCCTAGAAACTTTTTTCCTGCAAAAATGTGTCTAATCCACAGAACTGTGTCATAAAACATTAAACAGATAAAGAGGAGTGTGTGAGTCATGTTGTGTGTCAGGGGCAGATCAGCTGAGTGTTGTGGAGGCGTGTGCCGGGGGCCTCTGTGTGAACAACAGGCTTCAGTGTGAAGAGCTCATGATTTCTGAAGGTGGTTCCTGAGCAGTTTTTTTTTTTTTAAAGTAACTTCTAATAATTCGTATGAAGTATACTTTCTGTAATAAAATAATCAGAGTAATCAGACTACTTTTAGATGGGGTAAGGATTACTTTTGCAGTACAGGAACACTGTGTGAGACTGTGAATCCTTCTGACTTTATATTTCAGATTCATGGTCCAAACGTCCTCACATCTGTTCTAATTATGATATAGACATTAAAATAGAAACAAACTTGTAAAAGAAACCGACTTCATAAACATTGTGTTGTGTTTGTTGTGTTCCACTTTCAGCAAAATGTCACAATTCTTTCAGTTCTTCTTTAGAACGTCACTGTCTAAAATCAACAAACCTTAATATAAAAAATATGAATGATAAACTATTATTATAAACAGAGCAGAAAACAAACCAGAGCCTGATCTTAACTCTACACAATTATTCAGATAATCTAAGAAACAGGCCTATAGTAGCTGTGGTTCTGTTGTGGGTAAATATTACCAAAAATTACTCAATATTCAGTATTTCTAATATTCAGAGAGTTTAATTTGACCTCATCTTAATTTTCAGTTCCAGCTGAAGCCACAATCATGTGTGTTAGGTTTTTTTAAATTTATTTTTTCTTGTACAGATACAGATGAAGCACTTCCTGTCTCGTCTAAAGTCCAGTACAAAAACCGTTGATGATATAAAAAGTGCAGCATTAACTCGTCGCCTCTTCACTCTCGACATTGACAAAGTTAAAGTCGACCTGGAGGTGCCCTCGGCTCGGCTCAAAGGTGCAGGAGTAGGAGAGCACAGCGCCCTCTGCTGGAGTGTCCCGGGGAGAGTTAAAGAAGAACACAGCCTGTTTCTGGTGTGGGCTCCACTGGCACTGGCCCTGAGCACCCACGGGTGCTGTCAGACCTGCGCTCACTCTAATGTCTTCAGTTAAATGATACTCCATCCACATGACGGCCGCGTGGCAGCGCCCGCTCCTGGTGAAGGGCAGCGCCCCCTGGCTGCGGAGCGGCTGCTCCGGGACACACTGTGTGAAGTCAAAGGTCATGACCTCTGCGCTGTGGGTGAGGGCGCGGCCGGGGTACTCCCACAGCGAGTGTGGCTCCGCCTCCCTCGACTCTCTGTACTCCACAGACTTCTGGATCATCTGGTCCATGGGGCTCACGTCGAAGCCCTCGCACGTCCCACAGGGAGCTCTGATCTTCCACAGGTCCTCAAACTCCACAGCCGCCACGTGCAGCGAGGCGGAGCGCGGCAGGACCACGGCGCCCGGCCGGAGCAGAGCCGACAGGGCCGAGCGACAGTACCAGAAGTACAGGGAGTGCCAGGGCAGGAGGCTGCTTCTGAAGAACGGCTCTCCCATCAGCACAGACACCTGCTGCCCCTGCAGGTCCTCTCCGCTCAGCTGCTCCGGATGCCCTCCCAGCAGCTCCACGCACCCTGTCAGCTGATTGGCCTCCAGCACCTGCTCAATCACCTGCCGCGTCATCCTGAAGCTCTCCACGCTGAACACCTTCTTAGCCCCGAGCAGATGAGCGAAGAGCGGGAGCAGACTGCCGTCGCTCACGCTCAGACACACACTGTCCTCCTGGAGAACCTGCCCCAGAGCCTCCACGTAACTCTGTGTGCGTCTGGAGTCGTTGAGTTCTCCAAAACGAGCACGGTTCCACACCAGGTGAGCCAGACAGGTGCAGCAGGGCCGGGGCACCTGCCCACAGCTCTGAGAGTCTCTGCAGAGACTGAACCACAGACTGAAGTCATCGTGAGTCACACTCACACACAGATCTTCTCCTTTGGTCACTGCGCTCTGCTCTGGGAGGAAGTACACGCTCTGCATCCAGTGGTCCCTCCAGGGGGCGCTGCGCGGGTCCTCGTAGGTCCAGCTGGGGGCCATGCTGCACACGATGTCATCGTTGGGATCCATGCTGATGTCCCACCAGGACAGGACGACCTGAGCCCGTCCACTGCACAGAGCCTCAAACCTGCGGCTGTGGGTCTGAGTCCGGCTGCTCACGGCTTTACTGAAGTCCACAGAGAACATGGTGAGGCGCGGGCTGAGCGCGCTGAAGCTGCGGGGGGGCACCTGGCTCAGCTGGAGGTCACAGACGGCGTGGGAGCCGGGGCAGCGGGCGAGGGCGGGCGAGGGCAGCAGCGTGGACGAGCCCACGGACACGGGCCGGAGCCGAGTCCAGCCCCACAGCTCCTCGCAGTGCACGAGCTGCGCGTACACGCGGGCTCGGTGGGGCACGGCCTCACAGCCCTTCTGCATCAGGTGCTCGTGCGCGTGCTCGTAGCTCGGGAGCGCGCCCTCCCCGATCAGCTCCGTGTCGAACAGCTCCGTGACCAGGACGTTGGCTCTACTGCGCATGTCTCCTCCAGGACCCACCGTCACCTCCGTGGAGTGTTTGTGGATGACTTTTATTTTGTCGGAGAATCCGTTCTTACCCACGATGCAACGCGCGGCCTCCGCCATGGGCCCGAACACCTCCACGGCGTAACAGAAGTCCGCCCCCGCGGTCACCGCCATCATGGACAACAGGCCGGTCCCGGTGCCGATGTCCAGAACTATGACCGGCTCCCCGCGCGCCTTCACACGCGCCACGGCGGCCCGGATGCCCTGGTAGTACTTGATGTTCCGGTCGTGGTCGTGGAGCATGTCCGCGAACGACGACCGAGCGATGTCCTGATGGAAGTCCTCCTCCTCGCGCTCCTCCCGCGTCTCCTCCGCCCCGCACGCGGGCTTCACGCGCCCCGTGAACGTCTCCATCTGCGGCCTGAGAGTTTAAAGATCTGAGAGTTTAAAGATCTGAGAGTTTAAAGATCTGAGAGTTTAAAGATCTGAGAGTTTAAAGATCTGAGAGTTTAGAGCGTTTGTTTCTGTCCGAAAAACAAGAGTCCGGCTCAGAGAAGCAGCGGAGCTCTCCCCACGCTGGACGCGGAGGGGGCCGCCATCTTTACACGAGGTTGCCAGATTATCAGACAGAAACACGTCACGCGAATAAAGTTTTGAAAACAGTCCGAAATAAGCGCCCCCACCCCCACTCAACAAGTTTAATAATGTGTGTGAATATGAGATTAACAGCTGTACACGCAAACAACACACGCAAATAACAGGTTTAAAACATGAACTGTCTGTATTTTCTCACAGATTTGATTACAGAATTGATACAAGACTTAAAAATAATAACTTTATTATGAAGTAAACGTACCTTCCTCTCATGAACAGGCCCAAAAACGCAACTTAAGACTCTCAATACATTTTCAACCGACTTTCCAAAAGCAGAGTCCCAAACTGGCTATAAAAAAGCGGACCTGGCGCCCCCCGTCCCAGCGCATGTAAACCGATGTAAACACGGAAGTACCGCCGCCGCCGCTGCTGCTGCTGCTGCTGCACACTCTGTTCCAGCCGCTGCAGCGTTCACTCTGCTGCTGCTCTCCGTCTGTTTCTGCTTCATTTGCATCGTTTTTACATCTTTATTTTCGTGTTATTCTCAAGATTATTCGACATGGACCCGAGACTGCTGCTGGCGGTGGTTTTTAGCCTGATTTTAACCGAGACCGAGTCGAAAAGAGGCGGTTTGAAGCGCGGAACCAGAGCGCAGGTGACGAACTCTTCAACAACACAATCATTTTAGCACGATTATGTCACATTTTGTAGTAATTTTGTTATTTTCAGTGGTGGGAGAAGTACTCAGTTTTGTTAAGTAATAGTACAGATACCGGACTGAAAAAATAAGAAAGTTATTGTGAAATTAAAAGTATCACATAAAAAAAATCTACTTAAAAATGCACTTAAAGGTTGTATAGAAGATTTTTTTAAGGGAAGAGACATACAGCGGCAGTCCTTTTTGAAATGTTGTGCTTGCGTGACACCACCTTCCTCCTCCACAGCTCCCTCTAGAAATAATTTAGACACTGACACCTCAGTTTTTAGACCCTTCGTCTGCTTCACTCGCACCATCGCTGGAAGGAATCTCCAAGAATCACCTCAGTTTGTCTTTGCTCCTTTTCCCCTTCTCTTCTTCTTTCAGCGACCTCAAAAACGGACTTTCTTTTGCGACGAACTGGTCGTCGATTCTCGTCCGCCATCGCAACAAACTTTGTGCGAACTGCAAGGAAGCTACAATTAGAAAAAGCCTCTAAGAACCGCTGCATAGTTACCCTAGAAACGTAAGAAGTTTGATTGACAACCTAACAGCCAATAGAAAATGAGGTAGCCTTTTTATCTATTGGCTGATGTTTATCAGGTCTCACTACGTCCACAATTGATAGATTTTAATTTTATTTATTTTTTGGACATCATAATTACAAAGCTACTGCGTCTCTGTAATGTTATTTTAAACTTTCATTGACAATTTGGAACTAAAAAAAAAATCCTCCATACAACCTTTAAAGAGAAGGGGCGTGCAGAAATATCGAAATATTCATATATCGTATCATTTAATGTGATGATACAGTATCGATATTGTGGGTTGTATCGATATATCGCCAAGAGTTTGTTTTTTTGGTGTATTTTACAAAATAATTCTGTTGCATGAGATGTTTTTAAAGTTGTGTTTTTGTTCTGTGCAGGTGCTGGGCTTTGATTGGAAGAACTGTGGTGACCCAGATGACCCGGCGGTCCTGAAAACTCTGAGCGTGGCCCCGGACCCCATCTCCATCCCGGGGCTCCTCACCGCAGCAGCTTCAGGGGCCACTTCAGTAGAGCTGTGCGCCCCCCTGTCGGTGAGTACCGTATTTTACCCACTATTAGTCGCTCTGGATCATAAGACACACTGTGAAAAAAGTTCAAAAATAAATCATTTCATGACAAATAAACAGCACCAGACTTTAAAGGAAACAACAGTTGGGTGAGTCAGTGGTTTTGTTCAGTTGTGGCGTGTAGGGAGTGGGACATTTGTGATGAGGAAAAAACATTAGAACAGATCAGAAAATAGCGTAATACGGACCTTTTTAAAACTCGAGACTAGTAACAGTGTGGAGATAAGCTGGCCGAGATAGAATGAGAAAAAAAGCGCGCCACTTCTGAGAAGAAAAGTAAACTGATAAGGTCAAAGAAGGACACATTTTGTAACAGTCGGATGAGCAAACCACAGAGAAATGTCACAATGAACTAACCGTGTCCTTGCAAAAACTAAGCAGAGGGTACAAAAAAAAACACAACAGGAAGCACTGTCCAAGCTTTCTTTCTTTTAGGACAGGAAATCTGACAGAAAATGTTTATCTTTTCATCATTGCCTCATACTTCAGAAATATAATATCTTAAGTTTTGCAAAGCAAAGCCTCTATATAAGGTCGTAAATGGACTTGCCTCACCATCGCTGGATGAGTTCATTTTGCCCAAGTCCAGCACTAGTGGTCGGGTAACAAGAGCCTCTACCACATTCAGAACATTTAAAACCAAAAACCAGAACTGTGATTACAAATGTTCTGATTCTATGTAAATGTCAGTGTTGCGTGTCATGAATATGCATTGTCCCTTTTTAAAAAACAAAACAAAACAAAAAAACTTAAAGGACTCGGAAAGCTGCTGACATCCATGACATTCTATGTGAAATCCCTCTGTGGTCTGTTTGAAAAAAGTTTGGGTAAATGGTCACATGGTAAATGGTAAAGACACATTTTTATACAGCGCTTTTCCACCTTCAAACATCGAGGAACCACTCGCCCATTTGTCCCAATGTCAAACTGATAACCTCTTGGTCAGTGATTCTCTCTCTGCATGGAGCTGAACACAAACCCACTGTTTTAGAGACAATAGAAGAGCAGATCCTTGTTTGTGTCCGAGCTCCTCTAATGGAATTCAGAACATGTTGAAGATAATGTTGGATTTCAGATGACATCACAACGTTCTGCTGGCGAATCATGTTTAATTGGCGTTTTTCAGATTGTTGAGTGTGATGGCGTTTTACTCTCAGATGGGGGCAAGGGCCAGATTTTCCTTTTGTATATTTATTGTTATTGTTATACTTTTTATATCCAAAAGGTAAATTCAAAAACGTTGAACCTGATATTTTCAATTAGTGACTGAACCCAAAGGCAGTGAGGCCGGGCTTTGTCGTGCATCAGGAGGAACCCAGGACCTGCTGCACCAGCGTTGAGTCTGATACTAGGTTCAAGGGTTTCATCCCCATACCCAAGAGGTCTGTGTGTCCCTCCATGGACCGATCTCCTCAGATCATCACTAGAGCCGACCGCCGGCTGATATGGGCACCTGCATATCGATCAGCTATCAGCTGATACATCAAAAATCTTAGACTCTCTACATCTGTTCATTTAATCCAATTTACAGACAGATAAATGTCCTCAGTGGCTCCACATCAGTCTTATCTACGGAGTCATTTGTCTGTGTGTGTCCGTACTGTCTGAACACACCACAGAGTCGCGTCACTCACGTGTGTTTGTTTACACCCGCAGCGGTGCGCAACACTGAGATTAATTCTTTTTACGGACAATAGGTTTGAGTCTGGATTAAAAGGACATTTATTAGTGCAGATTTGTGATGTGAGGAGGAGCCTGTATGAGCGGTGAGTGTTGGAAATATGTCGACTTTGAAGCTAGTTTTTGTCATTTGTTATGGTTAGCTGCTGTAGCTCCTGCACATAAACAGACTGTTTTCTATTGGTCTGTTCTAAAGTGACTATATTGGCCGTATATTTGCTACTGGACCTGCACTGATATGTAAATGAGCTGTGAATAGACGTGTGAATTATGACATTTGCGCATATAATTAATTACCGCAGCGCGCACGTATTTACGGCTAAGGCTAATAGCGATTGTTTCTTTACTAGTTATGGGTCGTCGCGAACGAAATGACTCTTAGAGCCGGCACTTTGAAGCGAACGACGGGGGCCTGATCCTTATTGGGAGTCGTGTTTTCTCTTTCTCTCACTTTTTTTTCTCTTCACGCCGCGTGCAGACTCGTGGTTTGACAGCGGCAGCGGCTGAAAACGAAACTCTGAGAAATTTGCGTGTACATAGGATAAAAAAAAAGGAGCATATTTGGCTGTAGTTTAGCATAAAATAAATAAGTCCTGGTTTAGTCCTTTTTCAGTCCTGTTCAACCTGGTTCAGTCCTGATTCAGTCCTGCTTTAGACGTGCTTTAGACCTGCTTGCAACAAAACGATCTGAAGAGCCACTTGGGAGCCAAAAGAACCAGCAGCTTTTAGTGAGCCGAGCCAAAAGAGCCGGTTCTCCAAAAAGAACTGGAATACCCATCACTAGTGTCTAGAATGTGATGCAAAAACGCCATTAGTCCAACCTACTGTCTGTAAATATGATGTAAAGAGGCAGAATAACAATAAATGTTGCCTAAATAAAAACCCAATTTAAAATCCACCAGAGCCAAACCTAAGTTTTTTAAACAATTCAACATTTACAGAATTTTACATCACTAAATATATCGGTGTTATATCGGCTATCGGCAGCTCCAACTCCCATTATATCGGTTTCATATCGGCCACAGCAAAATCCATATCGGTCGGCTCTAATCATCACTGACCCACCGCCAAACCGCTCGTGCTGAACCATGTTGAGGCAGCAGAATGTTCTCCTCGTCTTCTCCAGACTTTTTCACGTCTATCACAGGAGCTCGGGGTGAACCTGCTCTCATCTGTGAAAACCACAGGGCGCCGGTGAATGCCAGTAGAGCTCCGTGGTGCTGGGCAGTGAGTGTAGGGCCCAGGACGTGGTGCTCTTAAACCACCCTCATGAATTCTGTTTGTGATTGTTTCAACAGACATTCACACTGGTGTCTCGCTGGAGGTAGGGCTGGGCGATATGGATCAAAAAATATATCTCGATATATTTTGCTATATCTCGATATACGATATATATCTCGATATATGTTCAAGAAAAAATAACCCCCTAAAACTGAAAACTGCAAAAACAAATCTGCCAAATTCCACAAGGTCTTTTTTTTTTTTTATTAAAGTGTAAGAGGTCGACAGTTCATACAGGAACATTTAAGATTACAAAAAACCCTAATTATATAAATAATAATTGAACTGTAAAATAAAAGAAATAAAACATATTTCCTTCTTTTCATTCATAAATAAAACAACTCAACACAAGCTCATCTTTGCATTAACTCTGTTATCCAAACCAGAACCAGAACCATGAGCTCCTCAGCAGAAGAAACTCAGGATGTTCCTTATTTTAACAGATCCATGTTTCTCACCAGCGTCAGGATCTGAGGTTTAATCCCACAATCCACTGCAGATCAAACCCAACGTTTCCAAACACTATTGAACAAGTGACACTGCAGCAGATTATTCATTAAAATATTCTGCATAAATAAACTTTACAATATATAAAACATAACAACTACGAGCTACATCAGGTCATTTGAGATAATAATGTGTTTAATGCAGTTTTGCGCACGTGTGTTTACATTTTACAGAAACAAAACTTAAGCACATGACTCATTTGCATAAACAGCACTTCTCGTGCAGCTCAGCTCGTTTAGCTTCTTTCGGGCTAAAGGACGCGACTCGGTGGAACATGAGGATGTGCTGCTGATGGTTTTGTCTGTAAATGGTGGAAAAGGTTCGTGGTGCTTGAAGCTTTTCACTGGCACCAACTTTCGGCGTTCACGGTGGTAGTGAGGAGTGAAGGAGACACGAGCGAACAAAATCAGGGAGGCGGGGATGAAGAGAGAGAAGGTAAACAAGCGAAGCGGCGAAATCAAAATTGAATATAAGCATTATATCGATATATACGATATGTCAGAATTCATATCGAGTTTAAAAACAATCTCGATATATTTAACATATCGATATATCGCCCACCCCTAGCTGAAGGTGATTCTGTAGGACACGGGCAGAGCTCTGACCTGCACTGATGGGTTGAGGACCTTCTACAACCCTGTCCAGCTCTCCTAGAGTAACTGTGTTTTGGAGACTGTGCTGAGACACATTAAATCTCCTTGCAACGGCCACGTCCAGATGTGCCATCCTGGAAAAGTTGGACAATACGCAACTTCTGTAGGGTTAAAAAATGGCCTCAAACTCATCCAGTCGTACTAATCACTCCAGCCAAAGCAGCACTAGAGGAAAACTAACCAAAAAAAGACTTAAAATAACAGCCACGTGTAAAACCAGTTCTGTTTTAAGGCCTGTCCCATTGGTTCCGCTCTACTGCATCTGTCATTCATTTCCTTTAAAAGAGTAGGGTCCTTTTGTTCCCTTCCCTGTCCATATTTGTGTAGATATCAAACAGATTTTTTTCACATTGAGATCTGATGTGTTTTCAAAGTGTTCCTTATCATTTTTTGAGCAGTGCATTTAAAGATGAGGCACAGAACAGAGAACTGTGGTGGATTTCACTGACCACACGTTAAAAAGTTACACAAAATAAATGAATACTTCAGCGGAAAATACCTCTGTGTTTAGAAAGAAAGATGGTTTTGTCTCAGTGCTAAAACATTAAAACCAAACCCACAAACTGAAGTATTTCACACACAAAAACAATAGGGAGGGTTTGACTTTAATTAATTTGAATTTTAATGGGTTATTTAGTTTATATCTTACGATTTTAATCAAAGCCACTGTTAGATTTGAGCTCGCGTGCTGCTGTCCCTTTAATCTGCTGCAGAATTAAAAACTAATGATTGTTAATTATTTCTAAAACAATAAGTCAGTCACCATTTTTGCCCCGGGCTGCGGATCCTCCGGTGTGTTTTCTGTCCGCGCCATAGTCAATGTTTACTCAGATTTATGGGCTAATTACACGGAAGCAGGTCAAAACAACAATCACACTCAAGTATTTTATCAGCATTGAGTTCAGAAGTTTCAGTAGCCTTGATCGGTGCAATAAAAGCCTGAAATAGAGCCTGATCTCAGCTGTTTCTGTGCCAAATCGGTCAATTAAAACCCAATAAAACCTGTCTAAGAGTCAGACATAGTACAACACTGTTCTAATGTTAAACTTTAGATCACATCGTTATAAAACAAAATAGATGGTTACAGATTGAATAAATTGTTTTATATATGAAAGCTGGAACAAAACTGTATATTTTGGTGGGCTGTATTTAAATCCTGGGTATTTTATCTTTGCAAAAGAAGGAAAAAGATCCACACTGTGAATTCTTTGAAGCTCTAGTCAGGTCCACTCACCTGACCCAACATGAGATCAGTCCAGGGCGACCAGATTTCCCAATTGACCCGTGACAGTCCCAGTTTCGAGCCCCGTGTCCCCTGTCCCAGCAGATTTATCCACAACCACTGATTTTTATCCCAGTTTTATACAAGAAACATCCCACAAAACGTACCAATTTGATCCCTGCCAATAGAAAATAACAGTATAAATCGTCATTTGTTTACGTAAAATACAGAAAAGCTTAAAATTAAAAATGACCTAAAACACAAGAAAATGTGACTGTACTGACTCTTAATTATTGTAGAGTGACCAGATTTTCAAAATAAAAAACAGGAACACTCTCTGATTGTATTGTTGGTAATAATAAAATTGTGAAACCAGTGCGTCATTCAGGAAAACTTCTGCACTCGGCCCATTCGTGACTAAAATGTGAGTCAGTATAGTCACATTTTCTTTGTGTTTAGGTCGTTTTTAAGCAGATTTGTTGTATTTTATCTAAAAAAAAAATGACAACAACCGAAATATCATGATATCATATCGCCAAAAGTCTCACAATAATATCGTGAGCTGTCACAATATATGGAATCACAAGTTCCTTTGCTTTAATGCAGGTTTTATAGTAGCAAAAACTTATGAACATCGGAAACTACATATCCCATGATTCATTTCAGAGCAGACAACACGAAGAAATATGTTTTCTTACTTGAATTTTTGGGATTCTGATGGAAATAATTCACACCTCCCTCCTTCTCTCCCCTCTGTCTCCTTCTCTCTTCAGTTGAACGTGACCCTGGAGAAGGAGGTGGCCGGTTTCTGGGTGAAGATCCCGTGCCTGGACGATTTAGGCAGTTGTCACTATGTAAACGTGTGCGACCTCCTGGACCAGCTGATTCCTCCGGGTCAGGACTGTCCCGAGCCCCTGCACAGCTACGGCCTGCCCTGCCGCTGCCCCATCAAAGCCGTGAGTTTACTCTTTTTACTACACCCTGCAAACTTTTGTCTCTAAACGCTCCAAAACCTCACTTTCCTGTGGCGGCACTTCATGTCAGTGGTGAATTTGTGTGTACTTTTTTTATTTAACCAGTCGCTGCAATTTGGTCGTGATGAAATCCCGTAGGAAGAAGGACAATAACGTCTTTCCCCTTGATAAAAATCACCAAATATTCTCTTTGTTCCGGCTTTAAATCCTTGATCTCGGGAATCGTTGCCAACACAGAATGTCTGGCTCTTCTCTGATTGGTCAGTGCGCAGCCTACAGCTTCTGGGGTTCTTGCAGACCGTCTAGTGTATTCCAGTTCCTGACCTGGGTGGCACCAGAATGGCTAGTAAAGATCGGCCCCATCCAAAAAAGTACAACCTGAATCATGATGGTGACGCCGAAGACAACTTCCAGAATAAGGTGAATATGAAGAGTTTTTTTTTTTTTTAGCAAAAACAGATCTCCATTTCTCCTAATAATTTCCCTAGATCAATAAAGTTTAAGTCAATGGGAGCTGGAAGTCCAAAGGAGCATCTATCTGTCATCTGGAATGTGGCGCCTAGTACGTTGGCGATGTCCATTTATGTTCTTTGCCTAAACATCAGAGTGCTGATTCCTCTTCAGCACCTCAAGCTTTTACTGTCACACGATTGGCTGTAGAGCTTTAGACCGTGATCAGTCTTTTTTTTTTCAGTTTTTGGCACTGCTGTTGAATATTTATCCAGGCTGGTGCCACCTAGTGCCTCCGCTCAATTTAATTTCTCTCCAGCGACTAGATCAGGAATCGAAATACACTAGATGGTTCGCAAGAACCCCGGAAGTTGTAGACCACACACCGGCCAATCAGCTGTGAGCTGTGAAGCCACGACGTCAAACTCGTGACGTCTGTCTGGGTCCCTTTTGTGGAACAGCACAACAGACATTCTGTGTTGGCAACGATTCCTGAGATCGAGGATTTAAAGCAGGAACAAAGAGAATGTTTGGTGAATTTTATCAAGGGGAAAGACGTTATTGTCCTTCTTCCTACGGCATTTGGAGCATTACATACGTCACGACCAAACAGCAGCGATTGGTTAAATAAAAAACAGTCCCCGCCTACTGTCGAGCGAACGAATCCTAATGCTGCGAGGTCAGACAGTTTCCACGATTTATTTAATATAATTAAATATACCAAGGCAGGGGCTGAACTGTTTCCCACACCTCATTTTACGTGACTTTTAGAAAAATAACTCCTAACATCAGGGACCTCCTTGGGTTCTGGGCCATTTATTATGCGAAGGAGGAGTCTGGGCCTGGCGACCTCCGGACTGCGCCGGGCTTGTTGCAGTTCCAAGTGTCGAGATGGGCCCCGACGGTGGAGTGACCGCAGCCGCCGCCCGATCGAACTTTGCGTTTTCTCTGAATCAGTTTGTAGCACTTGGTTTTCATTCTGTGACACACAGATTGGAATAAACACACAAATACTGTAAATACGATACACAGAGCAATATACAAAAATCAATTATACAAGACGAAAAATTACAAATATATGTGAATAAAATAAAATGCAACAGAAAATAATACTGTTAAATTATAGGAGTGTAATGATATCCAAGTCTCATGATACGATATCGTCACCGTATGAACCTCACGATACGATATTTATTGCGATATCGTGGGAAAACTCTCGATTAGGGATGCAACAATATCCAAATCTGTCTGTACGATATTTTCACCATATACATCTCGCGATACAATATTTATTGAGATATTTTGTGAAGGCGAACAAAACTCTTAACTGTTTTTCCTCTTGAAATGCCTCGACAAGACTTAATCCAAAGACTTCAAAGTGTTAAAACTGTTATTTCTTCTTGTCATCTGCACTGAAATGGAGCAAAGGATCATGGTCTATGTAGTTCCCTCTGTCTTTTAAAAAAAAAAGATCTATTGCTGCACCATAACTAAATGTAATTTAAGCAAAGAGTCTTGTAATTCGATATATTGTGAGAATGTTGTTGCATGTTCCAATAACTTTTTTGTTTTCAATCTGTTTTTAAATTTATTGTTTAGAAATATTGGCACATTTCTTTGTTACAGTGATGAAAATTGGATTTATTTATGATTTTATTTTTTTTATTTTGAGTCCATTTTGTCTTGAATCTAAGTCTGGATGAAGAAGCCGAGATCTTTTGTGAACCTTTTGTGTCTCCCCCCCCTCAGGGCTCTTACTCTCTGCCCCAGTCGGACTTCGATCTCCCGGAGGTGGAGCTTCCGTACTGGCTCACGAACGGCCACTACCGGGCTCAGGGCGTGCTGGGCAAGGACGGCAAAGAGCTGGGCTGCCTGAAGGTGGCGCTATCCCTCCACTCGGTCTGACGGCGCTCGTTCAGTTCGCTCACGACGGCGGGTTTCTCGGCAAGAGTTTAAATGAACCGTAAAAACTTCTGGAGCCACTTGGACAAACTGGAGTTTTTTTTTTATTTTTTATAGTTTGATTAAAAATGCAATAACCACTTTTGTTTTTACTTACTCCAGAATTGTTTGAGTTTATAGACAAAACATTAGACTACAAAATTTGTATTAAACCCAAACCATTAGATCGTTGTTAAAGCTGCACTGTGTAACATTTCTAGCCGAGCGTCCACCACCTGCTTTTAATCCGTCTAGATGTTTATTATTGCGTCGTCTAGAATGTTCCACAGTGTCGATTAAACTTGTCTAACGTGAGGGAGACGAGCAGGTCACAGCACCGCGCCACGTTACGGGTCAGATCTGTGGAGAGGCGCCCCTGTTCACTGAAGAAATTATTGGATTTTTGAGCAACAGAAATGAATAAACGGTAGAAGGAAAAGTTTAAAGTCGTATCATGGCAAAGCGGTAACATTTCCAGAGAGACAAGCAGGTAGTGGACCCTCTACTGAAAAAGTTACACAGTGGACCTTTAATTACAGCTTTAAAATAGCTGTGAAGTGGTACAAAAAAAGCTGTGATCGATGCGCTGCTGTTTCACATTACCGGCCCGGTTCACAGAGCTGCCTGGACAGTTTCTCTTCCCTCAAATTCTTCCCGTTTCGTTCGTTTTGTGCTGGGAATTTGCTGAGTCGTGCTAAAATAAATCTATATTTAAATATCAGACCGAGGACAGAAGGTTACACACGGACAGTAACAGACCGCGTGTTATTATCATGGATCTATAACAGGGGTGGGCAAGTTACGGCCCGGGGGCCATATGCGGCCCTTTAAACCTTTTAATCCGGCCCGCCGAACTGGAATAAATTACAATAATAAACCTTGTTGTTTTATTTGTCATGCATTTCCAGCGTTTCCCAGTAGATGGCGCACTATATATACATTGAGGTGCAGCGTTGGTCGCAATGCTTTATGGGAAAGTGTTCTTACAGGAGTTATTCGGACCATGAGTCAAGTAGTTGGTGGTCGAGATATAAGACTGAACTGCTTCCATTTTAAGTTGGTAAAACTCAAACATTGAAAACCTTTGGACTCTGACTTGTAATTATCAACGTGTACAACTTCGCAGAGTCTGGTTTTACTGTATTTGCAGGTGGACTTAATTATTGAGCTATATTCAGTCAGATTTGAAAATGGTCAGGTCGTGATGTTCGCTCACCTGTGGCGTGCACTGGAACAGATATATACATTTTTATGTGTTCTGAATCTTTCACAGTCGTGTTGAAGCGTGTAGTGAGCGTCTGAAGTCCTACATAAACGTGAATATGAACGTAATGGAGCCGAGCTCTTAACGCGTTATGTCCTGTCTTCTATCCGGCCCTTCAGTCAAACTTTAGGACCCTATGTGGCCCAAGAGCCAAAAAGTTTGCCCACCCCTGATCTATAATAAAAACTGGTGGACAGTCCCTCAGTCGTCCAAGTAGAATCAGTTCAGCAGTTGACAAATTGAACTGGGTTAGGTTAGGTCATTTTAAGGGTGAAGTATAGTTCTGCTTCGACTCAACACGCACTGCCTTGTCGCCTTGTCGCTGTCGTTTTTGATTTATGGATCTGCGTCGAGGTCGATGCCCCGCCAAGTAATTCACCACCAAAACGCTAGGGGGCGACGATATCTGTCCATTCATATATACAGTCTATGCATGTGACCTGCAGACGTATAATCTCTGAAAAGTTTAACATGAACCATCTCCAACGCGATAAAAGCACAGAACAGACTCACCATCAGCAGAACACCCCTCTGTCACAGAAAGAACACTCATATTCCACTGAGTCGTGTCCTTTTTAAGTCTGACACAGAAGCTGAACCGCGTACTTTTTCATTAGCCATGCGGTTTTAAGTTTCTCAGTGTATATTGAAAGAAAGTAAAGCAGAGTACAGGAAATATCTGTAGTGCGGCGGTACGGACGACCAATCACAGCCTTTATCGTCTGCGTCGTTTCAAAGCATAGTTAGAAAATTTCGGAGGTGCACGTCGGTCGATGCAGAGGCTCTGCGTGGGGGGTACGTGTCGACGCAGAGAACATTTTGTATGTGGAGCGACAACAAAACAAAATCCCGTTTGTTAATGGAGAGGAGCAGAAGACAAACAGACTGAGCTGCACTTTCTTGTTCTTGTGGTTTTACAGCAACATCACGTCTTGGTCTCTTTGCAGTGGAAGGTGTTTCTTGGTGAACAGCTGGTGCCTTTCGCTTTGGCGTTGACTTTTTAAATTTGTAACCGAGGTTGAGTGAGGGATCAGGATTTAGTTTTGTTGTTGCTCCACATACAAAATGTTCTCTGTAAACTCGGGATGATTTCTTAGACAGACAAAGTTTTCCTTTTTGGTTCTTCCTGTGGATCAATCCTGCCCATCGCCTTCACCTTTCACTATTTTTCAATTCCGTTGGGAAGAGAAACAGTTTGAACGGAGGTTTACAGTCACACACATCTGATTCCCTTTTGCATTTATGGAGTTCGCAAAAAAATTTCTCGAGCCGTTTTCCGCCGTTAGGATCCAACAACCACACGATTACGACGTCCGAATCCCAAAACTAAAATACGACAATATCAGAACCAGAAACAAAAGTGATATGGTTCAAAAGACTTGAAAAGATCGACTTTGTCAATAGACACATCCCACTGGGAAAACAAACATGGCAGTTTGATGCTCACTTTTTCGGAAAATCCTTCCCAGTATGAATTGTGCGATGACCGGAAGTCTGAGAGTTTTGATACGTGTATTCCCAACGCACGAGAGAGAAGCAAAACTAGTCAGGCAGCTCCACGAACAGGGTCTTTTACACATAATTTAAGGAATTATAATCATTTTGTTAAAGCAGAACTGAGTAACTTTAGTGATAGAGCTCCCCCTGCAGCTTCGTCAAGAGAATACACCCTTTTTTAAACTTTTTTAATTGAAGTAAAGTAAATTATATTCACGTACGAAAGCACATAACGTTGCCAAATATTTAAAAAAATGACGCAAGGAGAGAAGACGAATTCACTGAAACGCTCTGAAAATACAAGCTTAACCGTCACAGGGACTTTCAGTGACGTTTGCCTAAAAATGTTACATAGTTCTGCTTTAATTTGTACATTTGTAAATTAAGAAAACAAACGCAAATTATTATTTCAACACCGTTTGGGTTCAGTCAGATTGAATTCTCTAGAGATTTTTTGTGTCATTTCAGCTCATTTTCTTTCTGAATTTAGTCTTATTTTACTTTTTTTGTCATTTTTTTTTTTTACATGTCACTTTATGGGAATCACTTTTGCCATTTTTTTTCTTAAAGCTGCATTGTGGAACTTTACATTTATTCAGTTGCAGGTGGTTTTATCGCTCAGAAATACCTCAAAAAACAAAACAAGCAAACGTTCTGACTGAGCGGGGTCGTCTTTCCGCAGATCCGACCTGTATTTGACCGAGCCTCCACCAGAAAAGTTACACGATGCAGCTTTAATTTGTATCGTTCTTTTATAGTTTAATAGTTTTACGTCGAGTGCCTTTATAAATGAATTTGAAATAAGTGTGTGAATTCACTTTACAAGAACATTTTGAAAAGTTTCTAGTTTTTATGTTTAGTTTTTGTGGACATTTTGCAATAAAAGTGTATCTGCCACCTGTTTGTCTCCATGGAAACGTTATTGCTTTGTCTAGAATGTTCCGCAGTGTAGATTAAACGGCAAAGACGAGCAGGTTACAGCTCAGATCTGTGGAGGGGCGTCCCTATTCACAGAAGAAATTATCTGTATTTTTGAGCGACAGAAACACACTTAATGAATAAATACTTGATGGAAATGTTTAAAGTCACACCGCGGAACATTCTGGACAAAGCCGTAACATCTCCACGGAGACGAGCGAAGCAGAAATGTTACGCAGTGCACCTTTTAAAAGTTTTATTTTCGCGTCGTTCTCGGCTTGACGTGTGATTAAAAGTTGTTTACAGTTCAACACGGCGATTCTTTAAAGTGCACTGTGGAACTTTTTTTTAATCTTTTAAATATGTCTGCTCTCTGCTTGTCTCCATGGAGATGATGTTCAAGGCCTGGAATATTCCTCAGTATGGCTTTAAACTCACGTACTACCTGCATTTGCTCCATTTTTGGTGCATTTTTTTTACTGCGTTTTTACTCTGAGCTGCTTGACTCGGTGGACATAGATGGATTTAAAGCTGCACTGTGTAACTTCCCAGGCAACGCATTCGCATCACCATGGAGACGAGCACATGAGGGAGCCTTCACCGGGAAAGTTACACAATACGCCTTTAAACTGTGGTGTTTTCTTCAGTGAAACAAACTAGGGCCAAACCTCGTGTCTGTTTGTTTTACTGGTCGATCATTTCATTTTTAGTGATTTTTTTTTTTTTTTTTTAATTGAAAATGTTCTTATTTGTGTCAAAATATTTTAATATTCTTAAGTCTTAAATAAAATTCCTCAAACGTTCTTTTTGTGAATTTTGTTTTCGCTTTGAGCAGGTCGGAGACTCGCAGCTACGTGAATGTGTTTATTATTATTTTATAATTGCGAAATTAATTACACATAATCTCTACAGTTTCTGTACGAGTTGCTTTAATTAAACAGTTTTTACATGACATTACATGTGTCATGTGTAACACGTTGGCAGTTGGACTGGAAGAGTAGAACAGTACAGGTAAAACAATTCGTGTCTTGGAAATTATTCTCCCGAAGTGAATATAAAGAAAATACAAATATACGCCTACAATTTAAATGTCACGGTGAAAACAACCTGCATAGGCTATGATTCTGCACTACTGTCCTATACACAAACACACAAACACACACAAACACAACAAACACACACAAACACACACAAACACACACACACACACACACACACACAAACAAACACACACACACAAACACAACACACACAAACACACCTTCATCATCTCATTAATCTGAGAACGCGCGGACCACGTTTCCTTCCGTAGTTACTGCAACCGACGCTGCCGTGAGCCGCGTGTGGATCGTGTTTTCTCGCGTACGCGGCGTAAATTCCTCCTGTGAACCTCTAAGAACTAACACCAAGACTAAAACCAGGACTAATTCAGCCAGTAAACCAGAACTAAAACCAGGTAATCTAAACCAGGACTAAACCAGACTAAAGCTAAACTAAAACCAGTAAAGTAAAAGGTCTAAACCAGGTAAACCAGTAAACCAGTAAAAGTAACACCAGTGATCTCATATATAAAGCATTTCTCTATTAATAAATTTTTTAATATGGTTAAGGAAAGACTGGACTTTTTATTGTCTTTAAGTCGACAAAAGTTTGTTCAGATTTTCTAGTCTTTGCTACTTTACAGCAAACATTTCTTATTCATGAGACTGGACTCAACAGAAATTGAAGAGATTTGTTAAACAATAAATGACTTTATAAAGTCATTTGTTTTTGATGCCACAATAATGTAATAATGAATTTAAATGAAATACCTCAAATTGAAGCTTTTCTCAGCAATTTTAGGTGAGATTAAAATGAGATTAATTAGATTAATTAATTACAGATCATAATTAATTAATCTCTCAATTTTTTAATCGCATGACAGCACTATTATTATTATTTATAAAACACATAATACAGACAAACATACATGACATTACAGTGTGTCATGTGCAGGGGTTTATGAAGTACTCCATTTTGTGACTCAAGTAAAAGTACAGATACCAAAGCTAAGAAATACTCAAGTAAAAGTTGCTGGTAATCTACTTAAAGAGTAAAAATTAAAAGTATTTTGCACATATTTTGAGGTCTAATGAAGCTTCGAATGTAGAGATTTTGATATATTTTTGTTCAACAGAAACAATTTAATATTTTTTTTCCTAGCTGTTTTTATTTGAATATTTTTTGCTCAAACTATGAAGTTGTTATAAATAAACTCTCAGCCTTTTCAGCACGTCTCAAACTATAAAAAAAAAAACTTTTACCTGTCCCTTTTGTGGAACAGCACAACAGTAAACAAAGCGTCGAGATGAACGTAGACGAAGACAGACGTTCTGTGTTGGCGACGATTCATGAGATCGAAGGATTTAAAGCTGGAACAAAGAGAATGTTTGGTGAATTTTATCAAAGGGAAAGACGTTATTGTCCTTCTTCCTACGAGATTTGGTGCGTTACAAACGTCACGACCAAACAGCAGAGATTGGTTAAATAAAAAAAGGACCCATCACCGTCGAACGAATCCTAAAGCTGCGAGATCACACAGTTTCCATGAAGTGAAACCAGCTTATGAATCAGGCTTTAATAACACTGGGCTTGTCTCCCAAAATACGGTCCAGTTCTTGGTAAAAATTCGTTTGTTTGAGTCTTTGTACTCCTTGACTCGCAGGATCTTTATTTTTCATTGCCACTGGAGCCAGGACCGTCTGTAGCAGCGCTCTTGACATTTCTTTGGCAATCATTTCAAAAACTGCCCGGTTCCGCCTCCAATTTGTTCTGAATACAGCGATCCCCCCAAATATTAATAAACTCTCTAACCTTGCTTTCCCTTCATTTACAAGACTCTGAGCCTGACATGTAGGTGGATGAATGTGACCTGACCGTTCAGACTGAAGTCACATGTCAAAAGATCAGATATGTATCGGTTTTAGGAGCACATATCCAAGGCTACGTTCAGGCTGCAGGACTTAACGCTCAATTCCGATTTTTTTGTGAAATCCGATGTTTTTGCGAGGTCGTTCACATTTCCAGTTAAATGTGACTTGTATGTGACTCCAGTGTGAACATTAAACGGCCCGAAAGTGTCCCACATGTGACACTGGAGACACGACGACGTCAACCGCAGCGAGCGTCTCTGTGTTTACGGAAGTTGTCCAAACATGGACGCAGCATCGAGCACCTGGAGATTTTAAAGTTCCTCTCGTACCGGAGCCAGAACATGAACAACTTACTTGTTTTAAGGAGGAGATTGAGAAGGAGAAGGACGAGGTTTTTGGTCGTGGTGTTTTGTGGGCAGCGGCAGCGACGTCTGTTGAAAGGAACGTGTGGATGTGGAGACGGAGCCAAGAGTGGTGAGTGGTGATGTGCTTCACTTCAGTGACACGGAGTTCATTAACAATTTTCTCCTACTTCAGTGCAGAATAGTGACGTTTGTGTCTTGTTGATAACGTGTAGGTGGATGAATGCACTTTGGCCGTTCAGACTGAAGTCACATGTCAAAAGATCAGATATGTATCAGTTTCAGGAGCACATATCCAAGTGTCCTGGGTCACATTTGAAAAAATCAGATCTGTGTCGTTCAGACTGTCATTAAAAGATCAAATACAGGAACATAGGGGCCAAAAAATCAGATTTGGGTCACTTCAGGCTGCAGTCCTAGATCCAAAATAGCGTAATATGGGTCCAACTTTTTATTCAATACTTTTACTGTATAATTTGTGCTGTATTTTACTTAAATAAACCCTCTAAACTTTTTTGTGAGAGCATTTCTAAGAACTAGAAAGCGCACGCATGGCTGAGAAATATTTTGGCAGCGTTAAAGGGTTACACCTAAGTTTATATTCTTAGTACCCAAAACTATGTCAGACAAACATTTACATGATAACATCTGCGCAGTTTCACTTCTATTTTAATCCATTAATTACAGGTGTTGAGACAGTTGCAAGGAAGAAAAAAGAAACACTGTTTACGAGAAATGAGTCAACGTAACTCCACCTCTGTGTGTTTAGGTAAGTGCTGCTTACAAGAAGAGACACATCCTGAGCTCAAGAGGCAAAAAGAAGACGTACGTTTGAGCTCTCTGGATTAAAAAAATGGATTTCGTGCCAGAGGAGTGCGAGGACCTGTCTTGCCCGATTTGCCGCAGCATATTCAACGATCCTGTGATGTTGTCGTGCAGCCACAGCTTCTGCGGCGTCTGCATCGAGCAGTGGTGGAATCTGAACGAGGAGGAGCAGGGCAACACGTGTCCCATTTGCAGAGAGACGGAAACGAGAAGGTTCCCGATCCGAAACCTGGCCCTGAGGAACGCCACGGAAGTTCTGGAGAGGTGGACGCAGACGAGGAGGGGGCTGGAGAATGAGAGAAGAGAGATGGAGAGAAGAGAGATGGAGAGAAGAGAGATGGAGAGAAGAGAGATGGAGAGAAGAGAAGAGGAGGTCTGCAGCGTTCACTCCGAGAAGCTTCGGCTCTTCTGCCTTCGCGATTTCGAACCGGCGTGTTTGGTGTGCAGAGACTCCAAAGATCACGAGTACCACCCCTTCAGGCCCGTCGCCGAAGCTGCCAAGAGCCTGAGAAGAAAACTGGAGGAAGATCTGAAGCCGCTGATGAAGAAACTAGATCTCCGCCAAGAGTTTCAAAACAGCGGAGAGCTCAGTTTGATTCATATTAAACAGCAGGCGAGTCAGACAAAGAAGATCATCCGCGAGGAGTTTAAGAAGTTCCACGAGTTTCTGGTGAAGGAAGAGGAGAAGCGATTGAAGGTTCTGATTGACGAAGAGGAGCAGAAGACTCGGAGGATGAAGGACAAGATGGAGGCTGTGAGCAGAGAGATTGAAGCTCTGTCAGAAACCATCAGAGCCACAGAGGAGCAGCTGAGAGCCACAGACGTCTCCTTCCTGCTCCAATACAAGGCTGCAGTGGAGAGAGTGCAGCGCTGCCCCCTGCTGGAGGAACCACAGCTGGGCCCAGGAACTCTGATAGACCAGGCCAAACACCTGGGCAACCTGGCCTTCCACATCTGGACCAGCATGAAGACCATGGTGCACTTCTCTCCGGTCATACTGGATCCAAACACGGCTCACCCCGAACTGGTCCTGTTTGAAGACCTGACCAGCTTCACTCTCGGCGACGAGCAGAAACTTCCGCCGAACCCAGAGCGGATTCGTTTGGACGTCGAAACGGTTCGCGGTTCCGTCGGGTTCGAGTCTGGATCTCACAGCTGGGACGTTCACGTGGGGGACTGCGAGGACTGGGAGCTGGGCGTGGTCACGGACTCGGCCTACTACATCCTGGACTTTGAGGAGGTGGAGAAGGACACGGGCTGGTGGTCTCTGTCCTACAAGAGCGGGGAGTACAAAACGTTCACGGCGCAGAAGGGGGAAGGGGCTCCTCTGAAGGTCCGGACGAGCCCCCACAGGGTCAGGCTCCACCTCGAATGTGACAGACGCAAACTGACCTTTTACGACGGCGATACCAACAAGGTGATCCACACCTTCACCCAGATCCACCACCAGAAGCTCTTCCCCGTGTTTGTGAGCGGCAGCGAGGAGCCGATCACCATCCTGCCCAAAAAAATGACAAACCTGGAGAAATTATTTGAATAATGTTCACGGAAACACATGGAAGGAATAACAGAGGAGGAGACGTGCAGGTTGGGACTTGGACTCTTTGAGATTTGAGACTTGATTTTGAGATTTGAGTTGACTTGATTTGATTGAATTGATTGGACTTGATTTTGATTTGACTTGTTTTGATTTGATTGAATTGAGTACATTTTGATTTGACTTGATTTGATCGATTTGACTTGATTTTGAGTTGACTTGATTGATTTGACTTCACTTGATTGAACTGATTTAACTTGATTTTGATTTGACTTAAATTTGATCTGACTTGATTTTGATTTGATTGAATTGGGTTCATTTTGATTTGATCGATTTGGCTTGATTTTGAGTTGACCTAATTTTGAGTTGAGTTGATTGATTTGACTTTACTTGATTTGATTCAATTGATTTGACTTGATTGATTTGACTTGACTTGATTTACTTTATTTGACTTCATTTTGATTTGACCTGATTTTGATTTGACTTCATTTTGATTTGACCTGATTTTGATTTGACTTCATTTAGATTTGACCTGATTTTGATTTGACCTGATTTTGATTTGACTTCATTTTGAGTTGACTTGACCGTTTTGACTTGACATGATTTGATTTAATTTAATTGGTTTGACCTGATTTTGATTTGACTTGACTTGATTTTGAGATTTGAGACTTGACATGATAAAACGGACTTGAGACTCAACTTCAAGTTTTCAAATAAAGATGCATTATGTAACTTTTTGGTTGGCGGTCCGTCACCCGCTTGTTTCCATGGAGACATCGTTGCTCTGCCCGGAATGTTCCGCAGTGTGACATTAAACAGCTCAACTTTATATTTATTCAATTAAAGGTGGTTTTCTAGCTCAAAAACACCTCGAAAAACAAACATTCTGACTGTGAGCGGGGTCGCCTCTCCGCAGATCTGACCCGTAACTTGGTCCGGTTTGGTCTCCGTGGAGATAGAAAGGTTTAAAGCCACACTGTGAAACATTCCAGACAAAGCAATAACATCTGAATGGAGTTTATTGTGTGTATATATTGTGTATCTCTGAGGCATTGACTGTGAACAAGGAAATAGCTTTTCTTTCATTTATTTTATTTTTTTATTATTTATTTTTTTATTCTGACACTGGAGTGGGTTAAAAATCGGGATGTAACAATATCCAAATCTCTCCGCGTGATATTTCGTGCCGCATTCCCTTCGGATTTTCAGAGTTTCGACTGTGGAAGTTTAATAAAATCCGATGTTGTTGTTGTTGTGTTCAGAGTCTTGTGCTCGCTGCGTGTCATTTCTCTTTCTTCGCTTCCTTTTCCTCAATTCCTTTCCTCGATCTTTCATTTTTCAGCTGTCAATCAAATGCGTCATGTTGAGTGTTGCGCCAAAGAAAACCACGCAAGGAATTTTGAGTAGACTGACCAGATTTTTATCAGATAGTCAATGTAAATAAAGCAACGAAAAGAGCGTAACATCGTCCGTTCTCGTCTCATTCTTGTTAAACATAATCTGAGGGATGTTTTTTTTGCCTTCTGGTCATTTTCAAACACGATTTTCTGGATTTTCGATAAACAAATGACAAAATATTCTTCTCTTCACTGTTGGTTGGTTTCAGATTGGTAAAAAAAATAAGGACACAAGGGACACAGAGCTCAAAACTGGGACTGTCTTGAGTGAAAAGTTAAGTTAAAGTTTGTATGGAGGATTTTTTTTTGTTTCAAGTTGTCAATGATAGATTATAAAGATGCAGTAGCCTTGTAATTATGATGACCAAAAAAAAGAGAATAAAAATTCATCAACTCTGGACGTGGTGGGGCTAAACATTTGCCAATAGATAACGACACTGCCTCGTTATCTGTGAGCTGACAGGCTGTCAATCAAACTCCCTACGTTTCTAGTGTAACTGACTTGCCTGCGCCGCCGGTACGTGGTTTACGTACGACTGTCACGCAGTCCACAGACGCAAGACGCAAGACGCACAGATGCTGTTTACTCCACCAACGCAACAGTTCTTAGCGGCTTTTTTTGACCTATATCTTCCTCGCAGTTCGCACAAAGTTTGTTGCAATGGCGACAAGAATCCAGGAGCAGTTCGCCGCAAAAGAAAGTCCGTTTTTGAGGTCGCTGAAAGAAGAAGACAAGGGGAAAAGCAGCGAAGCCAAACTAAGGTGATTCTTGAAGATTCATTCCAGCGATGGTGCGACTGAAGCAGACGAAGAGTCTAAAGACTGACGCACTGGTCGACAAATTACTCCTGGACAGGAAACTTCTGCTTATTATGAAAACGTACTTTATTTCCAAGAGTTAGACAAATGTTTTTCAGGACATGAAAGCGACATCCTATGTCTGAAAACGTAATTTTCAAGGCAAAGAAAGAGTCCACTTGCTGCTGCGTGTTGTAGTTAGTTCATTCGCACGGAATCTCCGCGCAACCTTCTCTGCACACCTTACTGCTCCTCTCCCTGCTCCGCTCTTCCCCCTGCTCCTGACTTCTCCGTCTTGCCTAACCAACACTGTAGTTAGTTGTTTACAAGTCATGTGCAGCACCGGCTGTAAACAAACCTGTTTGTGGCGTAAAGAGGAGGCGGGAGGAGGTGTTTCTACGTAGGAGCTGTGGGGGAGGGGAGGTGGTTTCACACATGCGCAACATTTGAAAAAGGACAAACAGTCGCTGGATTTCTCGTTCCTTGGAAAATCCTCTATACAACCTTTAAGTAATCTTATTTTGAGGTTTTATATCAGGAGTGTCAAACTCTAATTCACAGAGGCCAAAATTAAAAACTGGGACTAAGTCGTAGGCCAAAAAACAACAACAACAAACAAAAAAAAAAACAATTTCAGCAACATCTGTATTTCTCTTCTTTTGAGATATAGTAGTAAGTAGTAGTAGTAGTAGTAGTAGTAGTAGTAGTAGTAGCAGTTGGTGTTGTTGTTATAGTAGTAGTAATAGTACAGTAGATATAGATGTTTTTAAAGTAGATTCTAGAAGGATTACATGTACTCAGAATCACTGGTATTACAATACTCTTCGCAGTACAGCAAGTACAGCACTAGTAGTACTTGTGCTGTACACTTTTATACTTTGTGCTTTAATTCTTTTACTTATACTTGAATGTTTTTGGCTCTGGTATCTGTAATTTAATTTAAGTAACTAAATTTAGTACTTCTTCCACCATGTTAGTACTTTTTGCAGTATAAATACAGTGTTAGTAGTCCTTACATGTACTCTGAATCAGCAGTACTACAATACTCTTGCAGTATAAGTACGCAGTGTCAGTACTTCTCTATCTGTGTCTCATATAAACAACAACAAACTATATGAAGTGTGTAGTTCCGTAACTTTCCACTAGAGGGAAGTGTTGCCTTATAATAGTGCCACTTTATCTCTTTCCTTCTTTCCTCCCTCTGTTTCTTCTCTTTTTTCTTTCAGTTACATTTGTTAGTCCTGGTTTAGTCCTGGTTTAGTCCTGGTCCAGTCCAAGTCTAGTTATGGTTTAGTCCAGCTTCAGTCCATGTTTAGCCCTGGTCTAATCCATGTTTATTCCATGTTTAGTCCATGTTTAGTCCAGGTTTAGTCCATGTTTAGTCCATGTTTAGTCCATGTTTAGTCCAGGTTTAGTCCAGGTTTAGTCCAGGTTTAGTCCAGGTTTAGTCCTGGTCTAGTTCATTTTTAGTCCATGTTTAGCCCTGGTCTAATCCATGTTTAGTCCATGTTTAGTCCATGTTTAGTCCAGGTTTAGTCCATGTTTAGTCCATGTTTAGTCCATGTTTAGTCCAGGTTTAGTCCAGGTTTAGTCCAGGTTTAGTCCTGGTCTAGTTCATTTTTAGTCCATGTTTAGTTCTGGTCTAGTCCATGTTTAGCCCTGGTCTAGTCCATGTTTAGTCCTAGTTTAGTCCATGTTTAGTCCATGTTTAGTCCATGTTTAGTTTAAGTCCATGTTTAGTGGTCCATGTTTAGTCCATGTTAGTCCATGTTTAGTCCATGTTTGTTTTAGTCCATGTTTAGTCCATGTTTAGTCCATGTTTAGTCCATGTTTAGTCCATTGTTTAGTTCCATGTCCATTCCATGTTTAGTTCCATGTTTAGTCCAGGTTTAGTCCATGTTTAGTCCATGTTTAGTCCATGTTTAGTCCATGTTTAGTCCATGTTTAGTCCAGGTTTAGTCCATGTTTAGTCCAGGTTTAGTCCAGGTTTAGTCCAGGTTTAGTCCAGGTTTAGTTTTTAGTCCGAGTTTAATCCACTTTAAAAGTACAAAATCTGCAATTCCATCCATCTCCACTAGAGGGAAGTGTTGCCTAATAAAAGTACCACTTTCTCTCTTCCTTCCTCTCTTTCTTCTCTGTCTCTCTTTTTTTTTCTTTACCTCACCCCCCTTCTCTCTCTCTTTCTCTCTCTTTTTTTTCTTTCTCTCTCTGTTCTGTCCTGCTCCACATGGTACAAACTGTTTTTAGTTTTTGGCCTAAAGAACAAACAGCTCCTCCTGCCAACCACAAAACTGGCACACGAAATAACACACAGTAACACACAAAATAACACACACTGACACACACTGACACACTGACACACACTGACACACACTGACACACACTGACACACACTGACACACTGACACACACACTAACATAAACTGGCACACACTTAATAATGCTCCCTCTGAACAAAAGTACACAAACAAAAGAAAAGAGATGGAGAGAGAAAGTTTATTAATGTACTTCAAAGTACAGTTAAAGTACACAAACACAAGAGAGAGAAACAGAGAGAAGGAGAAGAGAGAAAGTTTAACACGTTCTGAAAAAAGTAAACAAACACCAGAGAGAGAAACAGAGAGAGAAACAGAGAGAGAAGAGAGAAAGTGGGGCAGAGTCTTCAGTCTGTTCATCTGGTTTAGTCCTGGATTGAAGGTCTTTTATCATTTCTTTTATAGTTTTTTTTTTTATTTATTTTTTTATTGATTACATTTGTTAGTCCTGGTCTAGTCCATGTTTAGTCCTGGTTTAGTCCATGTTTAGTTC